CGGGATCCACTGGTCAGAACTTGAGACGGAGTCGTCGGAGCCGTGTCCACGCAGGCGGGGAGAGTAATCCATAATATTATTAATGGAGTCCAGAGATCCCAGAGCGCTTCCGAGAGCCGTTCTGGCATGGTCCCACCGGTTAAGCAGATGAGCACGAAAATGAGACAATTACTCGTTTCGCCTCCGGTCCGCAGCCATCCAATTCATCATGCAGGGCGGAGTGTTTACTCACGGGGCCGCCACGTGTTCACAGCACAGCAGGCAGACACCATCTACACAGGGTTCTAAGACCAACATCCATTGGCTGGCCTTTTCATTGAAGTTTCCTGCAAAAAGCAAAAAGGGAGGAAGAGAGAGACAAGTCCACTGAGACAGGGTTTTCCAACGAAATCACTGCTTTCAAAGAAAATCGGGTGAATGAGCCACACCAGGCATTTCCTAAAACTCTCGAGTTAAGAAAGTCGACCTGAGGAATGGAAGCAAGTGGGCTAACAGGTCCTTTCGTTTTTTTAAGCTTTATTTCCTTTTAGTGTTCATATTTTCTCTGGGTTACTTATAAAGAACTGCTTCACGGACAGTCATAGAAATTTGCTTTCCCTTTTCTTCCTTTCTTCCTCCCTCTCTCCTTTCCACTCTCTTTTCTTAAATTTTTTAAAAAGAATTTTCTAATGCAACCTGGGGCGCATGCTAATGAAGCCATCTTATATTCTTATGGAGGTTGCAAACCTTTATTTTTTTTCTTTCTTCCTTCTTCTCCGCTGCCTTTCCTTCTTTTTCTCTTTCTGTCTTTCTTTTCCAGTTTAAGGATGGGTTCTAGTTCATTTTATGCTGAGCTATGTGAGGAAACTGGCCTTCACTAGTGGTTGTTTTTGTTTTTTAATTTATGAATGAGAATGGGAAGGGAAACTTCCCCAATTTTTACTGTCTTAGCTGCCACAGCCCATCAGAAGGGACCGTCTAGTTGGGTCACAGGATGCAATTCTCCACCAGGATGCTAATAACCAGGGAATAAAATTAGAATGGTCCCACAGAGAAAGCCGGCATGTCCAGCGCATATGCAGTAATCAGGACAGTGCCAGGACTCCCATTCGGAATGCACAGTTAAACAGGAGATTTCAATTATGAAAAGCTCCTTGGGGAGTAGGATATGGTAAAAATACAATTTTCAGTGGAGGAGATTCAGAAACGGATGGGCGAAAAAAATCCCCATTACCTCAGGTGTCAAATACATTTTTTTGCTTACCTTTAGCGTGGCAAAACGTATTTCTCCCCTCTCAAAAAAAATTACATATATATATATATATATTTTTTTTTTTTTTTAAATAATGCTCACTGCAGATCCCAGACAGGAGCCTCGCTGAATTCAATTAAGTGGGAAAATGATTTCTCAGGATGCCACTGGGAACAATTCCGTAGGCAACCCTTCAACCTCTAGGTGCCTGGTTCTATTCTGCCTCAGAATGGAAAAGCAAGAAAGTGGTTGCCATGAGCTGGGCTGGCTGTGGGATGGGTGAGGCCAGCTGCCAGGAGCAGACCCAGCTTCTGCTGCCCACACAGGCAGCATCTGATCTCACATGACAGCCAGTGGTATCGCCCTGCCTGTCACATGTTGCCAGGGCTCAGCTCTGTCCCTAGGACTCTGTACCTCAAATGCGGCTCCACCCCCAGGAGTGAACACAGGGGCCACTGGAAGCAGCAGCTGTTTTGGAAACGGAGGAAAAGCTTGCAATAGGGAACCGACTCAGAGCAATGCCCACCACCTAGCTTAGAGCTGCAGCACTCAGGGACACTCAGCCCCCCTTGAATTTTATTTTTAAATATATTTTAAAATACATTTTTATTGATTTTTAATATATTTTTAAAATGTATTTTTATTGATTTCAGAGAGAGGAAGGGAAAGGGAGAGAGAGAAATAGAAACATCAATGATGAGAGAGAATCATTGATCTGCTGCCTCCTGCACACCCCCTACTGGGGATGAAGCCCACAACCTGGGCATGTGCCCTGACAGGGAATAGAACCATGACCTCCTGGTTCACAGGTCGACGCTCACCCACTGGCGAGTTCAGAAAGGACACAATAATGGTACCTACCCAGAGGATGAAAAGATCACCATCCTTGTGAAACTATTAAGAAAAGCTGGAACGGACCATTATTTTTAAATTGTGCCAAAGACTCTGCAGATGTACTCTGGCATTTTCTGTGTTAATGATGCTGGGACAGGGACATGTCATCCCACTGAAACTCAGGACAGATGCTTCTTTGATGGAGACCATAAAGCAGCACTCAGGATGACCTATGACATGACCAGGGTGCTGCCTGAACTCGCCAGGCTCAGGGAACAAGTAGTAATCGGCCCTGGAGCAATTTCATAGGATGGCATGGCTTCATTAGTCTGAATGAAAGGATTAATATATAGATGCAGGGCCCCAAATACTACCCATGAACACAATACCTTCTAGTCAGAGTAAGCTCACTAGGCTTTGTACTGCTTTGTTCAAAACTGAGACACAGAAGAAATAAGTGACTTGCCCAAAGAATAGCTCCGATAAGAAGCAGGTCACTATTTCAAATCAATATGGTAGGTAGTCAAACTCCAAAATTCTCTTTCCTCCTCCTCTCATTATATAAATATCTGATGAGCATATACTGAGTGTCCAGTACTGGGAATGGAAGGGCAAATAGGTCAGAGAGTTTATCTTCAGGGACTGACGAGTCTAAAGGGTAAAGACTAAGAGATAAATACAACATCTAGGGCTACATAATCTGAGAACAGTTAGGGGAAGAGAGTGATGAGTATGCCTCTCATCGTGGCAGCATCACAGAAGGCTTCCTGGGGGCAGTGTCCTCTACATGTTGAGAAGTGACTTCCCAACTGGGGAGGGGTAGATGTGAAAGGACATTTAAGTCAAGCCATGGGCAGTCCAGTCTATTGACTAGTCCAGGAGCTCTGAATGAGCCAGCACCTAGGGTAGTGTCCCCATCATGACTCACTAGCTCATCCAGTCCATGATCATGGCATCTTCTCCCTACCCACCAAGTTCATCCTAGTCACAGCTGCTACAGAGTACATGTCTGTAGGGTCCCTTCTTCTCTGCCAATTCTCTGTGAAGAGAAAGGCATGTTTTTGGTGTGTGTTTTTAATATTTTTACAGAGAGGAAGAGAAAGTTAGAAACATCAGTGAGAGAGAAACAGTGATCAGCTGCCTCCTGCACACTCCCTACTGGGGATGTGCCTGCAACCAAGGTGCATGCCCTTGACTGGAATCGAACCTGGGACCCTTCAGTCCACAGGCCGATGCTCTATCCACTGAGCCAAACTGATTAGGGTGAGAAAGGCATGTTTGATTTCTCCTAAGCTTTGAGAATAAAAATACATACCCTCCCACAGAGCGGGAGTGGGAGACAGATGAGTGCTATTCCAATGCAGCCCCTCCTTTTTCAGAGAAAGGGGGAGTGACTTGGCCAACAACCACAGTGGGTGGCAGAGCCCTGGCGGAGCTCCAGGAAGAAATTGGCCCAGCTCTGCAGAAACCCTTCTTCTTCTCGGTTGTTCACTCCCACTACCCCTCTGTGCGCGCTTCTAGACCTGAAATACTCCTACACCCCTCCTCCAGTGCTGCCACACTCTTGAATCACTTGTACTGTTACTTTAAATTCTATTAAAACGCTTTCAGTTTTTAAAGTATTTACTTAAAGCCCACCCAGCCTGGCTCACTGGTTGAGGTTCGACCTATGAACCAGGAGGTCACAGTTCAGTTCTTGGTCAGGGCACATGCCCGGGTTGAGGGCTCAATACCCAGTAAGAGGCGTGCAGGAGGCAGCTGATTGGTGATTCTCATTAATGATGTTTCTATCTCTCATTCCCTCTCCCTTCCTCTCTGAAATCAATAAAAATATTTTAAAATTGACTTAAAAATGGGAAGCCAATATTATTTTCTACCAAATAATTAAAGTGAACACTTAGAAAACATTTGGCGAATATCCCCTCATCAAGACGGACTAAACATACTCACACACACACACTTTACTAATATGTGTGGATATGGTAAGTCATCAACACAGACTATACACAAATATATATCTACACACGTTAGATGTAACACACATGTATGTATTTATACCTACTCTTCAAAATAGCCCTAGTATTATTATGACTTTATTATCATTCCCATTTTAGAGGAAAGCAGACTGAAGCACAGAGAAATTGCTATGTAAAGCAATATTTTATTTTCCCTGATCTAGACAATGTCAAAGTCTCAGTCATCTCTCTCTTTGCTAAAAGGGAAGCAGTTAGAGGCAAGGGTGTGCTGTTCAATAAGTAACAAGTAGCTCTGGGAAAGGAAACTAGAATGTCTGATGTCTGAGTTCCATGCTACCAATATCTCCGCCATGACCAAAGTCAACCTTAGCATGACCGTTAACCAGCTCCAGGGCAGTTCCTCAACTTTTTAGCAATCAGCTCTGAGGCGTCCAGTAAGAGCTACCCCAGGACACCATTGTGGGGGTGCATCTCAAACTTCAATCTACATCCAAGGCACCTGTAACTCTAGCTAACATGCAGATTCTGAGCCAGTGAATTGAGGGCAGAGCCTGCGATTCTGCACTTCCAACCATCTCTCCTGGGACGCAGATGCTACCATCTGGGATTTGAGGACCACCATCTGTAAAGCCAGGGGTTCTCAAGGATAAGACAGCTCCCCATTCAGACCACCTCCTTGAGATGACTTGAAGGAATCCATGGTGATGTGGGAAATACACTTCCTGCTCAGTGTCATTTGAAGCCGTGCCCATAACCTACTATCACTCATTATATGGGACCACACACATATATCAGAAACCCTGCACTGAAGTATATGAATACACAGGGGTTTGTATGATGTCATAATATTCCTCCCCCACTGTATATCAGCATTGGGAGTGACACGGGAATCCTGT